CAGCAACATGGATGAAGTTGGAAGGGATCATGCTCAGGCAAAATAAGCCAGAAAGAAAAAGAAAAATACCGGATGGTCTCACTCATAGCAGGAGTTTAGAAAACCTAAATTAGGGACCAGGAAAATACTAAATATAATAAAGTAAAAATCACAAACAACAGCATCTACAAGCCAGAGACACACTACCGTGCGGGGGAGGAGGAAGTAGGATCGTCAAGGGGGTGGGAATTGTACGGGGACTATAACCAAGGTGAAAATGCATACATTGGCAAAAATGAAAAAGGAAGTAAAAATACATAAAATTAAAAACGAAAAAGAAGGGCAGCTCACCCAGCAGGGCTGGACAGGGAGGGGAGGTGGGTGGGGGCAGGTCTGAGGCCAGCGGGGCAGGGAAGCCTGTGCAAAGGGGTTTGGGGAAAGTGTCAAGCCCAGCAGGGCCACGGGAAAGCGTGAGGCCAGCGAGCGAGCGGATGATCTGATTGATGCTCTCGCTCTTCCCTGGGTGTGGGGGAGGTTGAAGGAAGGGGAGGAACCAGTGCGGGGCCGCAGCCCTTGCCCGTGATGCGCAGCATCCCAGGCTGGTGGGGGCATCGTGGGTTCTCAGAGGCAAGAGGGATGCAGAGCCTCCGTGGGGTTTGCAGCCCCTGAGGCTGAGGCGGGTGTGGACACAGGCGGCCACAGAGCGTGGACTCCCCCGAGGCGGCCGTGGAGGTTGGGGAGAAAGACGGGAACAGGCCTGCGAGTCCGCCCCCGACACGGGAGAGGCTGCGACCTCTCTCTTGCGGCAGCCGGGAGCAGCCGCGGTCTAAGGAGGAGCAGCACGGCCTCTCCTGGCCGCTGCTGGGTCAGGTCCCCGGGGGGCGGGACCAAGGGAACCTGCCCTGGGCGTCCTGTCCCCCGAGAGGATGACACCCTCCGCCCTCCAGGCCTGGGACATGCGGCGCTGGGGCCACCGAGCCCGACCCCCGAGCCCAGGCTCTGAGCCTCGGGGCTCTGGCCGCGCCCCAGGCTGCTCAGGGGAGACCTGGTCCTCAGCGGATGCTGTGCGTGAGTGATCAGGGTTGGCCTGGCGGGGGGAACCTGCAGCCTGAGCAGCAGCGGACCCCACTGCTCACGCGAACCCACCACTTCCAGAAGCCAGGGCGTTCCCCGCGGGGTGCAGGGCCACAGCGTCTGGACCTGGCCTTTGCCAACCTCTGCTCCCCGACCCCGAGTTCAAGCAAGAAGCAGATTTTTTTTAGTCTTTTTTTTAAAGATATATTTATACAATTACCGGGGTACAGGCCAGAGGTGTGAGGGTGAGAGGATTCACCAGAGACAGAGTGGGGAGCAGAACAGGCAGACTGATGAAATAGACTGCTGAGGGGCGCAGCGGGCGGGAAAGGAAAGGACTGCTCGCCTCCCTGGCGGGCCAGGAATCGAACCAGCGCTGCAGAGGTGCGGACAGCTCCACAGCGCTGCGCTCAACCCGCTGCGCCAACAGGAGCTGCAGACGCAGATATTTCCAAGCCAGAAATCTCGGGGGGAGCTGACCAGCCCCAGCTGCCCCCAGCCCCGGCTGAGTCAGGTCAGGGGGTGTCCCCACAGCGCTGGGGGCGGGGCGGACACCCCCTCCAGGGCCCGCTTTACAGCCTCTGCCGCCCTGGGAGCCGCCCCGGCCTCCAGCCTGCGAGGACGCCGAGGGGCACACGCAGCTCGTGGGCCAAACGGGGGGACCATGTCCCAGAGAGTTTTCAGTGTCGGGGTGTGAAGAGCGGACTCTGTCGCATCTCATGCTCCCAACATGGTGTCGTTTATTGTGCCTGTGAATGTGTCGTGTCATGTGAGACGCATCAGGGCTTGAGGGGGATTGTGTGGAGAGACCCTAAAAGCCAAAACCTGGGACAGGTGCTCGCGACAGAGGACACGGCCTCGCCAGCGCCCGGCGGGCTTCTGGAACGGGGTGGAGTCCAGTCTCCAGGGAGTCTGTCCACACACCTCTTGGCGGTTGCTGTGCCGTGAAGGCTGAATGGCCCCCGGGGTGCCCTCTGCCTGGGGCGTGGCCTCTGCTCTGACGCCACAGAGAGCTCTGTGATGTCACCCGCGGAGCCTACTTAAGACCCCGCGCAGCCGGCGGCGGTGTAGGTAGAGCGAGGAGTGTTGGGATCGTGACGGTGGACTCGAAGGGAGAGAGAGGCATGTTGGTGGATTGGATTGCTTTTGCTTTGGTTATTTCTTATTCAGTTATTTATTTTAGCTATTTTAGTTATTTTATTTTTAATTCTGTTTTTTATTTTCCTTTGTTTTATTATTTGCTTATTTTTTCCTTTTATTATTTTAATTTTTTATTTGTTTTTATTTTTAAAATTTTTTTATTAGCCCCCATTTTCCCTGGTGTTATTTTTGCGTGTGTTTTTATTTCCCCTTTGTTGTTTTTTTTTTTTTTTTTTGTTAGTTTGTAATTGTTTGTTCGTTTGTCTGTGTTCTTGTTATTTGGAGTTGTTAGTTTGTTATTGTTTTTTTATATTTTTAGTATTTTATTTTATTTTGTTAATTTTTTGTTTGTTGTGTGTTGTTAGGAGTTGTTTTGTTTTTTTATATTTTTAAGTATTTATCTTTGTTAATTTTGTGGTTGTGTGTTTTCCTTTTTGAGTGCGTAGTTAGTATTAGTAACCTACTTAGGTGAGCATAGTTAGTGTTTCTGGTAGAGGTAAGTTAGCCTCCTTACTGTTTCGGTAGAGGAGTCAGCGCGGGGAGCATTTAGTTAGTTTCGGGGATCCTTTTCACGTACTACTAGCTCTAGGCTAGTAGTAAACTTGTTAATCAGGTAGCGGAGCTAGTGCCGAGGGCTCTAGACAGCCAGGACCTGCGAGTGTAGGAGCGGGTCCGCCCTCACTGCCTCGATGTGCATGTCTGCCCAGGGAATGGCCCTGAGACAGTATGTGATGCTCAGCAAGCTGCGGGAGGGCACCCACGCCAAGGTCAAGCAGGCGCGGCACCTGCCAATGGGCACGGAAGTGGCCATAAAGGTCATCCCCAAGTCCGGCATGCCTCAGAGGCTCCTGGTCTGCGAGGTGGCCTTCATGAAAGTCCTTTGGCACCCGAACATTCTCCAGCTCTTCCAGGTGGTGGACACTGAGGATGAGGTGCTGCTGGTCCTGGAGCGCACTCAGGGGGGCGACCTGCAGGACTACCTGTGCAGGTGTGGGCACCTGAGGGAGATGGAGGTGCGCCGCATCTTCCAGCAGATCCTCGCTGCGCTCAGCCACTGCTAAGCCCGGGGCGTGGTGCACTGGGACCTGAAGCCAGAGAACCTGCTCCTGGACCGGCACCGAAACATAAAACTGGCAGACTTCGGGCTCAGTGCCCAGTTCTCTGGGACAGCGCTGCTCAAGACCCCCGGCGGCAGCCCACAGTTTGTGGCACACAAGATCCTCCGTCACCAGGAGTACAGTGGCCCCGCGGCATACATCAGGAGCCTGGGGGTGGTCCTCTACGACATGGACACGGAGCTGCCCTTCAAGGGCAACAGCCTCGGGGAGCTGCGGGCCAGGGTGCTGAGTGGTGTCTACAATGAGCCTCACTACCTCTCCCAGCAGTGCCGTGACCTGCTAAGGAAGATGATAAAGCTCGACCCCCAGAGCCGCAGCACCCTGGACAGCATCATCCAGTACCCCTGGGTGGGGCTACCCAATGGACTCCCGCCCTGCTGCAAGCTGTCCCAGGCCAGCAAAAGGCCGCGATGGAAGCCATGGTCTGCCGGGGGTTCTGGAAATAGGTCATCGACAGGGCGCTTTTGGAGGGCAGGTATGACCCTGTGATGGGGTCCTACCTCATGCTGCTTTCCAGGCAGTGGGTGGGCGAGGAGGGGCCGGACCCCACCATCTTCCCCAAGCTCCTCAGTCCCAATGGGGCCCACTGCACCCCAATACCAGAGGACCACCGGCAGCCTGAGTTCTCGGGACGGGAAATCTTGCAGGTGGGACTGTCCCCGAAGCAGGACACCCAGAAGCCCAACACCACCTCCGGGCTAGGCATCCCGCAGAAGGATGCCAGCCTGCAGAGTTCTGTCTCCGGCTCAGGGCCCCTGCTGCCGGACGCCTGGAGGCCCAGCATGGCCTCCAGGTCAGGGCCTGTGCTGCGGGAGGCCTGGGGGCTCAACACCACATCACTGCCAGGCCCCCCACAGGAGGAAGCCCTGCAGCCCAGCACCACCTTGCTAGGCCCCCAGCTGGAGGGGGAGGCCAGGAAAGCATTAGGAAGACCTCCAGCCCAGCCCCCCCAGCTCTCCAGCACCACCCGAATAACCCCAAGGAGGAGCCCCTGTTCAGCCCACTCCCTGCAGAGACACTGGGCTATTAACACCATTCCCAATCCACCCTTCAGTCCAGCGGAGGCTACAAGGCCAGAGCTCGTTGAATCCTTAATAGGATTTTAAAATGTTGCATTTTCTGTCCACCCTTCGGAAGAAAACACAAGAGCAGAGTTCACCCTGCTGGGGATTAGATGGTCACCAGCACCTCCCTAGAATTCACTTCCCCGCTCCAGGGCAGCCACTCAGTGGCCATAGTGAAAGGAGCACACCAGCGGAGGCCGAGCCCTGGAGAGGGCTCAGGGGCTGGGCCCAGCCAGAGGGGCCAGAAGCAGCATGAGAACATAGGTGTGGAGCACAGATGTCCGCAAGCACAGCAGTCCCAGGAGCAGAGCAGGTGAAGGGCAGGGAGGGCAATGGGTCTGGTGAAGCACCTGAGGGGAACAGAGCAGAGGAAGGGGGGAGAGGAGGGCTTAGGGCAGCTGAGCAGGTGCAGGGCCCAGGATGGGAGTGGAGCTGTGTGGGCTGAGCCCCCAGAGGCCCCAGGGCCATAGGCTGGGACCCCAGGGCCTTGCTTCCCCATCTTAGGCTCTATCCCGTGTGGGCCCTGCTGGTGGCCCCTGGGCACCCGGACGGCGCAGACGATGCAGGAGCTCTTCGGTCTGACTGGCGCTGTCAGGGACTGACATACACGGTAGGAAGTCCCCTCTACTGAGCCCCTTTTCACAACGGAGATTCCAACTTTGAGAATTGCTTACCCGCCAGTGAGTGGTGCCTCGATAGGGCCTCCTGGTTTCCATCTGTACTTTGTCGCATCTGAGTCCATGCAGCACTTCCCGGGGGTGTCACTAAGGAAAGAGCCTCCTCCGTGCTTGGGCTTCACTGGCTCTGCTCTTCCCACGCAGGTCCCAGAGGGCACGAGGAGGCGGCCGCCGTGGACACACTGGTTCCCACTGCAGGGGCACCTCCAGGTGACCTGTTCTTCCTGCGAGCCCTGGGGTGTGGAGGCATCTGGACGCTCTTTCTACGCCTGGAGGAGACAGTCTGAAATGGATTATTTAGTTAAAATGTCTATCCCAGGACACATTAAATTGGTGTTTGAAACTGACCATGTTTGCTCCCCATTTATGACGGCACCTACACTTCCAACACATCGGACATCAGAGACCTAAAAATCCTTTAACATTCTTGTAATAAGCAGTGAAAAGTTTAGAAAATTTAGAAAATTTTGGAAAGCATTTAGAAAATTTTAGAAAAGTGAGAGGGGTCAAGTGGTGATAAGACAGTGAGACAGGAGTGTGAAGCAGAGCTAGCTGTGAGTATGGAATTAGGTATTTGCACTATTTTCTTTAGGTGTATATGCATGTCTTGCACTGTGTGCAAGTTTGTGCATATGAGTCTACATGAGTGTGGCTTGTGTGTGCATCTATAGGTATGAAGTATTTATGTACCTTCTACCATCAGAAAAACACTCACAGCTGTAGAGAACTGGTATGTTGTCTTCAAAAATAGGGCCTCCCGGAGGGCCCAGCGGGTTGAGCCCAGCGCTGAGGGAAGTGCTGAATCTCCAAAGTCCCCAATGTGGCTTGTGTCCCCGAGTCCACATCTGTAGGGGGTTTAATTCTGCTCCAGTATAACTGTAGATGCAGGTCAGTTAACGTTTTCCCGGTTTCTTGCCATTGGTCCCTGCTCCTGGTGTGTGCCCTGGTCACCCATTTCTCTTTCAGGGGCATCGATGTTGTCCTGCACATTGTTGTGAGTTTATGGCGGCGCTGAGCCCAGTGTCTTCACTCTGCCTCCGTATTGCGCCTCCTGCGTAACACAATTCATTTTTGAGACCATAATTACTTTGTAAACCAAAACAACTAAATATAATAAAAAGATAATAAAACTGAAAAACTACAGATGTTAAAAAAAATCACATCCAGTGACTTGTATTGAAATTATTGAAAAATTATATACATCATGGCTAAGTGTGGTTCATTCCTGTAATACAAGACCAGTTCAACACTTACATATCAAGTAATATAACAGTTTACATTAAGAGTGAATAAGAAAATATATATTACTGTATCAACAGACATAAAAACACTCAATATATTTCAACACATATTCAAAATTAAAAAAAAAAGTAAATTCAAAAACCCAGAATTTAAGGGGCTTTTCCTTAAACTAATTAAATGTATAAAAGAAAACATGTAACTAACATTACACTTAAAGATGAGCCACCAAATAGATTTCCTCTTCAGATGGAGAAAAAGGCCATTTTGTCCTCTGCCACTATACCAATTCAGAACTGTGGGGCTGTCCTAACTAATATGATAAGTAAAAGAAAAGAAAAGCTATAAAGGGAATACATATTGATATGAAACAATCAATTTTGTATTCCAGGTAGAAAACCACTAGAAATCTTAAAAAAAATCTCAGAAATAGTTAGCAATTATAGGAAGGTTGCAGGGTATGTGGTCAATATACAAAAGTTTATTAGTTTCCCCATAAGCAACACAAACAACTGGGATTTAAAATTAAAGAAACATTATCTGTTATAATTATTCTACCCCAAATGAAATACCTAAGCAAGGCCTCCCCTGGTGGTGCAGTGGTTGAGCGCTGGGCTGTGAAGCTGCCCGCATTCTCTGCAGCACTGGTTCCATGCCGGCCACCAACAAAGTTCCCACATAGCACACGGACCTCTCCTTCCGACCGCAGCTCCCCTCAGCAGCGTACTTCGTCAGTCTGCCTGTTCTGTTCCCTGCTCTGTCTCTGGTGAATTCTCTCATCCTCCCATGCTTCTGAATGTAGCCAGTGCTTGTATAAATAATAAGTAAATAAATAAATAAGTCTTTAAAAATAAATAATAAAAATGAAAAAAAAAAAAAAATAAATATCTAAGCATAAATCTAACAAAATTTGCAGGAGACCTATACACAGAAATCCAACAACACTCATAAAATGGACCTAGATACAGACCTAAACCTTATTTTAAAATGAACAAATGCAAATTGAATCATAAACATGAAAGTAAAATGCAATACTATAAAACTTCTCGAATATGACATAATAATACAAATAGATGTGACTTTGGATTTGCTAATAACTTTTTAGGTAAAACACTAGAAGCATGACCTATGAAATAATAAACAGACCTTTGCACTTTATTAAAAGTTTATGCTCTGCAAAAATGATGTTAAAAACACAAGTAACTTATTAGGAAAATACTAAGATAGCTGCATTTACCAACATGCATTTGTCAAAACCCATAGAACTCACAGCACTAAGAATGACCTTTGGTCTACCTACATTTTAAAGAATCCTTTTGCAAGTTCGGGTACACCAGAATGTGAAAGACAATTACAATAGAATGTAACTGTATTACACTGTATGTATGACACATGCTTACAGAAAGAGTTTTTGGAAAAGGTGCTGTAGACTCAAAAAGAAGGAAAGAATTCTACAGTTTGCTCTGCTGGAAATGTCCTTTCCACACTGGCAAGGCTGCCTGGGCAATAATGTCAGCAAGACAATAACTTTGTTTGCTTTGAAGAGTTCCTCTGGTGAGAAGCAAAGACAATGTCGAGAAAGTCCACAGTCCTATCATGTTTATAAGTTGCTAGACGAAGGAACATGAGCTAATGACCTGAGTGACGAGCGTGTCTATGAGGGCACTTGTCAAAATAAGAGATTCCAATAAGCTTTGGTCCTTACATCTTCCCCCTCACAGGTAACTCTGACTGACTCGACTTTGTAAAATCAAATCTGGACTTGCTATTGGTTTTTAAATTGGGGTTGGAGTCATAGGCCTGTCAGAACATTCCTATATGTCCAACATAACCTGTGCAATATGATCCATCCCTGGAAGGCATTGAGTTGATTGGTTAAACTGTTAACCCAGCCTACTACATGTACAAGAACTCTGCTGTCCCCTGCCCTCAAGGTGCTGGTGTCCTAGGCAAGAAGACACATCATCAAGGATTTATAGACTCTAAAGTTTGTCTTTGACAAACTTTGTTTGGTTTCTTGATATTCCACAGAAAAGTAACATCATCCAGTATTTATCTTTCCTCTTCTGGCTTATTTTGCTTGGCATAATAGATTCCAGTTCCATTCATGTTGCCATCAATGGTGTGAATTTATCATTTTTTGTTTGCAGAGTAGTATTCCATTGTGTGTATGTGTATATATACCACATTATCTCTTCCATATGGCCACTGAGAACTCTTTCGTTTGATTCCTCTATTACTTTAAAAAACTCCATTTTGGGGAGGAAGTCCACTCATCTCTGCTAAACAGACAAGTATAGGTTTTTGCACCTGAGGGGGAAATTCTATACTCCCAAAACACTAACAAAAATGTAAACCAATGGTGCTTCTATAATAAAAATTAAAAAGATGACACATCAGCAACATCACTAAGCTGGCAGTGTGGTGGATAGCTTGACGATTAACACTATGGAGAAGAAATAAGCAAGGAAGAAGAAAGGCCATATTGTCTTAAATCAAGACTTCAGGGAAAGCCTCTCTGAAAGCAAGGAAGGACAAGCAGGGGGACCAGCAGGGGCAAGCCTTGGGTGGTAGTGTGCTTGCAATCTTTGAGGGGCAGAACTATGGCCTGAAGAGCAATGTTGTCTCAAATCTACAGGCCCTGGCACGGCTCTTTTGGGATGTGTGAGGGGCCCTAAGTGCTTTAAATGCATTCAGCTTTAAATGAGGACTGCACCAGAGATGGTGATTATATAACCCCACCCAGTCCAGCATCCATTAAGTCAGGGCTAATTAGCACACTTCCTTTTCCAGCTGTGCGCTCAAAATTCCATTAACATCAAGTGCTGGCACCCACTGTCACCTACAGATTCATGGTAATAGACCTCATCTCTTCTACAACATGATGGGTTTCCTGAAGGAATTGAATCATTTCCCAGGACTGCCTTGGGCAAAGTGGGACACAGAAATGGGGGCTGAATTAGAATGGGGGTGAGGAAGGGGAAGCTGGGCTGCAGGTGAAACATCCAGAACAAGACTTTGATAGACAACTTCATGCTTCCAAGGAGAGCCTGCTCCAGATGGATTCAGGACACCAAACGCTCAGTAGATAATGAATGTCCCTCCACCAAAACATCTGTGCTCTCTAAGTCTAGACACACCCGTGAGACTCTCACCTTTTTGTGTCTGCATTATGTTCTGTGACTGACACCACATGGTCACCCTGCTTGTAGTTTTATTATATTAAGCAATCACAGCCTTCCATTGCATAACACTGATTTTATTGAAGAACAAATCTGCCCTGTTTGTTTACATTCTGGACACTGATAAAATAGAATAATGATTTCAGTTAGTATCTTGAGTGAGTCAAATTTATAATTTATCCCCACTTGATATGGTCCAAAAATGAAAGAAGTGGAAGACTGTGGACAGTATGAAATGACAGCTTAATTGTTAGGAAAATAAAACCCAGAGCCAGAGAGTTAAAGGCTTTCCTACTGATGTTAAAATTGTTTTCAGAGAGGACAGACATGCAGCATTTGATGCCAAGGAACACAAGTAATAACGCTCTGGTGCATAGGGCAGAGAAATAGCCTTTATATGTACATTTAGAACAACTGAAAAAGTGCCCATTATTTCTGTAAAGGGCTCATACAAGTAGTACAGACTTGAGTGGGGTAGTGCAAATCCAGGAATCAAGGGTCCCTGTAATTTCATCTGTCACTCACTCCTGATGCTTTTATATGAGGTTCCCCAAAGCAATTTGGATTTCAGATCATCTCTGCCTTGTACTCTGGGGTCAGTTTTTCTCTCTTAATGATACATGTGTTAGATTGATACTGATCAGTATAGATGAGATGAGTGAATGGGACGTAATGCACTTAACAAACATGTATGATTCCTTCTGCAAGCCCAGCACAGCAGGTGCTCAGTACAGGAGACAAAACCTGGAAGACATGGCCTTGCCTTGTACATATTAGAGTCCAGGGAGGGCAAAGAGTAATCTGCCCCTGAGATGCAGACAGCAAGCATAAATGTCACCCAGAGGATAGAAATTGTCTACCAGGACAGGATCTGACCACAAGTCAGTATCGTCTGTGGTCTTACAGAGTTTTTTTTTTTAAAGATTTTTTTATTTAGGCGTACAAGAGCTGGGGTACAGGCCAGCGATGCAGGGGTTGTGGGCAGTGAGAGGATCCATCAGAGACAGAGTGAGAAACAGAACAGGTGGATTGACTGAAATACACCACTGAGGGGAACAGCTTAGACTGAGACAGGAGAGGTCTGCCACGACATGTGGGTATCTCCCTGGAAGGGATTGAACCTGAGCTGCAGTGGCTGCAGACAGCTTCATAGGTTGCATCTAACCCCTTGTGCCACCAGGGAGGCCCCCTTACAGGGGTTTTAAAATTGAATTTAAATGCCCAAGTAAGCAATCTCTTCATTTATTTTATTTTCCATTTTTTTAAGATTTTTTTTTCATTTATACAAGAGCTGGGATACAGGCGAGATGCACAGGAGGCTGAGAGGATTCACCAGAGACAGAGCGGGGAACAGAACAGGAAGACTGACAAAATACACTGCTGAGGGGAGCAGTGGGGAGACAGGAGAGGTCTGCTGAGTCATGTGGGACCCTTGCCGGCCAGCCAGGATGGAACCCCCACTGCAGAGGCTGCGGACAGATTCACAATGCAGCACTCAACTGCCTATGCCACCAGGGAGGCCCTCTTCATCTAATTTAAATATCAACTATATTCATAGACCAAAAATTCCCCTTTTTAAAGTGTACAATTCAGTGGGTTTTAGGAACTCATATTTGTAGAACTGTCACCACAACTTAATGTTAGGGCATATTCATGAACTTCTGAGGTAATGAAACTTAACCCAATAACAAATCCTCCCTGTGTCCCTCCCTCTCTAGTACATGAAAAATCGCCCATCTGTTTTCTGTATCTGTGGAGTTATTTGTCTACTACAGACAATTCATGTAAATGCAGTCACACAATAGGTATTATTTGTGACAGGCTGCTTTCACTTATTCTATTTTCAAGGTTCATGCATGCTGTACAATGTATGGATCAGTACTTCATTCCTTTTCCTTGCTAGATAACATTCCATAGCATAAGTTAGCATATATTTGTTCTGTATACCATTTGTAGCACAGATCTTCCAAAACCCTGGCAGTTTCCCAAGTGATGAGCATGACCTTAAGGCATAAAATACATAAAAGAAAAGAGGCAATGTGCTCACGGATCTCAACCTCAGAGATGCATTCAGGGACTCACTCTAATGGCACAGAAACAAAAACAAAAATAAACAAGTGGATTAATTCTGGCGCAAGGGGTTAAGCACAGCACTATGAAGCTGGCCGTAGCCTCTGCAGCAGGAGTTTGATTCCTGCCAGCCAGGGAGCTACCCACATGGCACAGCAGACCTCTCCTGCTGCACGCACTGCTCCCCTCAACAATGTGTTACGTCAGTCTGCCTGTCTGTTCCCCGCTCTGTCTCTGGTGAATCCTGTCACCTCCCACACCTCTGGCCTGTACCCCAGTTCTTGTATGCATAAATAAATACATCTTTAAAGATACAAACTGAAAAACCTTTGCACAGATAAAGAAATATTCACAGAACAACTAGTGACTGATAGAAAATATTTGCACAGCACATATCCAAAAACAAGTTAATTCCCAAAATATATAAAGATTTCATCCAACTGAACAACTTTAAACAACAGTTAAAAATGGATAAAAGAGCAAAAAATGGTTTCTCCAAAGAACACATGTGGTCCATGCCATATGAAAAAAATGCTCATTACTCTTTAGGGAAATG